ACACACACATATACATATATATGTAACAGGCACATTAGCTCTGAAAGTAAAGTGTTAGGGTGCTTTCCAGGCTTCTAAATACTGTTAGGATTTACAAAAGGGGCTATATAAATATAATTATAGGTAAGAAAATCTGTGCTAATTTTACAGGCAAAATAGTTTCATATCTAAATCCTCATAAACTAAGTTACTAATATGTTTTAGTATTTTATTTAAGATAGAGACATATGCATTTTCTCTTTTGTAAATTACCTAACACTTGTTCTTTGCAAAATTTTACATTGGGAACGGAGTATTTTTCATCAAGTCAACTCACTGCCATCGAGTCAATTCCGACTCATAGCAACCCCCATTGGGTTTCTAAGGTGGTAAATCTTTACGAAAGCAGATTGCCTCATAATCCTTTGAACCACCAACCTTCTTCTGCTTAGCAGTCAAATGCCTTAGGCACTGCAAAAATGAGTTATATTCTGACCTCAAATCTTTGTTAACTGACCTTTTAATTATATATTCAAAAATTTTCAGTCACTTATTAAACCATTAAGAGTGGTTTACGTAGATTACGTAACTCTTTAGTTTACATAGAATTTAAAACTCTTTAGTTTACGTAGAATTTATCTTAATTTTGATATAAAGTGAAATTATAAATGATTCTTCCCATTCTAAAGATGATTTAATACATAATCTATCACTTTTTTCATTGATTTGTGAGGTTTCTTCTATTACATATTATATCCTTACACCTAGGTTCCATTTTGCTTGAACTCTGTTCTACTGATCCACCTATTTTTGTACAACTCTTTCCAGTCCCAATACTCTGTCAGTTTGTCATACTGTGGTGGCTCGTGTGTTGCTGTGATGCTGGAAGCTATGTCACTATTACATCAAGTATAAACAAAGTCACCAATTATGGACAGGTTTCAGGAGAGCTTCTAGACTAAGAGTAGGAAGAAAGGCCTGGTGATCTATTTCTACAAATTAGACAATGAAAACTCTATGGATCACACAGAACGTTGTTTGATGTAATGTTATAAGATAAGCCCCTTAGGTTAGAAGGTACTCAAAATACAAAACTAGACTTGAACATACCAATGATCATGAAGATGGCCCAGGGCTGGGCAGTGCTTCTGACATAAATTGGAGCCAACCTGAAGGCAATAAACAACACTTCCTGGCCACCTAAACCACCAACTCTAATAGGCACATGATTTGTCCTGGACTTTATCATGGCATTCTTCTATCACCAACAACTACTCTTTCAGTTTGCTTCCATTTACTCCCATAATAAGCCTTTTAAAACTCAATCAGGACCTTCAGTCTTCTAGACTCTACCACCTTCTATGACCTTCACCCCTTGTCATCACTTCCCTTCATTACCAGTTTATATTCCCCACTCTATTATTTAAATGACATCTTACATTATTACACTGAATGTCTACAATTTGGATATGTGGAGAGAAAATGAAGACAAGGCACATTCCCTGGTTTCCTTGGTATGCTGTTTTAGTGGGCATAGAACACAGTAAATAACAATCATTTCAATTAGAGTCTGGGGAGTAAAGTACTAAAAGGATAGGAACCAAAATGTAAGACCTATGTTACACAGAGCAATAAAGGAATAACTCTGAAGAGGTGATACTTGGTAATGAAGGCAGAAAAGGACTAAGCTAAGAGAAAACATTCCAGGCAGGAGTGTAAAAGCAAAGCTCTGCAACCAGAAAGAGCTTGCCACGTCACTACACCTGTCTTTCTATTACACTCATTTTGCAAAACATCAGTTCTGAGTGAAGCCAAGTCTTTGCTTTCTTTGTGCTTCCAAAAAAAAAAAAAAAAAGACCAAACTCACTGCTGTCGAGTTGATTTGACTCATAGCAACCCCTATGTGGATTTCCAAGGCAATATTTCTATGGAAGTAGATTGCCCAATCTTTCTTCTGAGGAGTGGCTGGTGGGTTTGAACCACCAGCTTTCCAGTTAGCAGTCAAATGCCTTATGCACTGTGCCACCAGAGAAAACATTACTTAATAAGGCAAAGGGAAATTATGTTTTTGAGGGTACCACCTCGATTTAGTCTCCATTTTTCTGGTCAATTTGCTCTTTCACTCTCTTTAACTACTATTTCAAAACTTTCTCCTTAAAACTCTCCACTTTTCAATCTGCTCACTCTTAACAAATGAACTCCACTCTTCAGAGAGAATATAGAAACCATCAGGTAGGAACTCACTCAAGTCTCAAACTCTGTACTCCAAATCCCCCAGAATCTGTCCCTATTACAACAAAAGAGCTATCCCTTCTCCTAAGGCTAGTCACTCCACTTTGCTCTCAAATTCCTTGTCCCCCATCCTCTCAGCAACATTACTTGATCCTTTCTTGCCCACAGCATACAACTTCAACCACCTAACTGTGTCTATCTCATGATCATTTATACTTGCTTCAATCTGATAACTTTCAACCATTAAGAAAAGCCCTCCTGAGTCAGAAAACTGTATAAAGATTAAACGGTCTGCCATGGAAGTTCCACAGATGGAAGTTCCATCTGTGGAACTGTTCAAGAACAAAGGAGATACTTCATCGCAAGAAACAGAGATGATTCAAGTACAAGGCTCAGTAGTTGAACCAGATATATCTGTCAGATTTCCACTGACCTTAAGAATTTTTGTTCTATTGAGAATGCCTATTAAAATGTTAAGTTTAGCCAATGACTCCATCCTTAGGCTACATCTATGGACTTTTTCTTATGAAGGATGTAAATCTATAAGCTACATGCCTGTCATCACATTTGAAATGACAAGCCTTAGAACTCAACTAAATGAATCAAAATGATACACAGGGAGCTGTCTCTCCATCTCCATCTCTATCTCAAATCAGACTGCAAGATGCAAGCTCCATGCCAGAGCAATTAAGACCTCTCACCTATACTATGGAGCCTCAGATATTCTGATGGTAGCTGGTGGTATCAGAATTACCATCAAAATTTACTCATGAGCTTATCTCAGTTTATGCAAGGTAACTGTATATAAGGGTTAATCTCCTTCAGAAAATATTTTCATAAATTATATAACCAACCTCCTTCATTTCTATCATAAATTTACTTTCCAGGAGCACCATTCATGCTTGTAGATATTTGAAGAAAGCAGTGATAACTGCTATAATTTCACACTGTGTTCTCATTACACATCTTCAAAATGTATAATCATCTCAAAGTCTAGAGGCCAAGGGCTCTGCCTTGGCATGTCAATTAATGTAAGCTAAAGCATAGCTTTTACTTACTTATGTTGTTGTTGTTACATGCCGTCAAGTCGGACCCGACTCATAGCGACCCCTGCTTGGGTTTCTGAGGCAGTATCACTACGGAAGTAGATTGCCCCATCTTCCTTCCGAGGAGTGGCTGATGGGTTTGAACCACCAGCCTTCTGGCTAGCAGTCAAATGCCTTAGGCACTATGCTACCAGAGCTCCTAGCTTTTACTTATATTGCTGATTATTTTGTTAAGAGACTTTTAAAATAAATGTTTAAAAAAGCAACTTCTAGAAATAGGCAGTATATAGGGTTACATAAAGTGACCCTGGTCCATTGCCTTTTCCCTTTCTAATATCTGAAAACTACCTAAACAGCTAATTACAATATTTAATGGCTCAAAGCAGAAATTTGCATTACTTTAAAGAGCTAAATAATTATATTTCTTATTGCAAAATAAAGAGATTCTTAACCACTCTAGAATTTTCTAATAACTACATCTGTAGCTTTAGATAAACTGATTGATTAATGTATCTATAGATACATAAAGCATTTGAGACTGCTGAAAATATCAAATTACTAATCAGGAAGCTCTCTAAAACACGTTTGATTATAGAAAAGTATATACCTAAAATATCTTCTCTTTAAAAGAACATTTATTTTCTGATATCTATTAAATTTAAGACTTAATATGTTTTGTTGAGACAATATTCTAATAGTTTAACTACTTACAGTAATTTTTAAAAAAACAACAAAAACACTGAGCACTGCCTGAACACACCAATGATCCTGAATAACTATGATCTTCCTGAAAAAAGGTATGTTTATGATCATCTCATGTCACAATTCCTAAGGAGCCAAGAACTATCTTTTATGTAGTGCGTATAATGTCCTTTTTGTTTGAAACCATCTTTATTAATGTTCGTATTTGAATGTCTAAAAAAGGGATCCTTTTTCTTGTATTTTAGGTACTTTTCCTAAATTTGCATTATCTAAGACAATGAACTTATTCCTTAACAATTAAAATTATTATGTTTTCAAAACATTTTTGGAATCTCATAGTTCCAATTTATTTCCTATTCAAGAATTTATTTTAAACTCAAAACCAAATTCATAGGTAATATAAAGTTATAAGAAAAGCAATTCAGTGATCTGCTCTTAATAGTTCCTTTATTTTGTCATATTCAAGACTAATAATAATAATCATCTTATTATAAAAGCATAATTTGAAGTTTTCCCGTTTTTTAAGTCAAGAAAGATTCATAAATCGATTTACAAATGAATTGAAATCACTCTACTGACAGTTGTGAGGACTAGTAATAACTGAGCCAGTACAATTAAACAGTAATAGAAATATGGGGAGCTCTGGTAGCATAGTGCCTAAGACACTTGACTGCTAACCAGGAGGCTTCAAACCCACCAGCCACTCCTCGGAAGAAAGGTTGGGCAATCTACTTCCGAAGTGATACTGCCTTGGAAACCCAAGGAGGGGTCACTACGAGTCGGGTCCGACTCAACGGCCTACAACAACAACAACAACAACAGAAACATAACCATTGCCATCAAGTTGATTTTGACTCAAGGCGACCTAGAACATGCTATATGTCTATGTGAGGCATAAATATTAATGTGTTATGTATTTATATGCACATAAAATATACATACATACACATATTTTAATTTTTAGATTTTATCAATTTAGAATCATAAAACTCCTTGGAATAAATAAAAATGAAACAAATACCAGGAAAAACATCCTCTTACCTGGTAGATATCAGAAAGACTGCTGCTTCCAGAATCACTAGTAATACTACATCCTGAATGGCTAGAAGAAACGTGGGTCACCTGTGGGTGGAGACTGTCAGTAAGGTGTAGTTTTGTGAAATCTGCAGGAAGCTATGGAAGGAGCAGGAAAAACTAGGATTACAATTTGAATTAAGTACCCTAAGAAGACATTTTAAAATTATCATTTACACTCTATTTCACACCATTTATGCTGCCCCCTCCCCCCCAAAAAAAATTATCAGGAAAGATCCTTCATTTTAAATATTCATAAATCACTAGACACTGTCCTATTCATCAAGATCACAAATAAAAATTTTATGTATGATCATGCAATAAACCTTAATACTAAATTCAATGCTTAAACAGATGGGTTTGGTGATTAACATTTACTTGGGTGAGCATTTAATTCAATGAATTACAATTTTCAAATTACACATCAATGTGTGAATTAGTTTACTACTGTTTGTTAGCAATCACAAATGGAACTTTGTGGCAATAAACAATTTACACAAGAAAACAGATTTGAGGTTCTTACACCCCAAATGATGTTTAAATATGGGGCAAGAGGAGACTGGTAAAATGCAGTGGACAAAAGAATGCCTTCAGAGAACCTACAATCTAGAAATATATGGACAATAATATACACCTATCTATATACATACACCTATATACATACATCTACATACAATTTTTCTCCTGGTTCATGTTTTAAACCCTAAATAAAAACAGCCTCTATTAAACACATTCACAGCATCTCTCAAAACTTCTTTCACCTCCCACCTTCCATATTATATATCAGAGAATATGTATTTAAGAAAGAAAACATTCACACATTTCTTCATTCAAAAAATGTTTAGAGTCCTTTTTCTCTTAATTTGTGTTAGTGAGTGTGTGAGGCATTAAAGAAACAGTGTCCTTAATAATCCTACACTCTTACAAAAGTTATTACCAATTCAAAAAGGCACTGCACTGTATCTGTCCAGAGAATCATACTTATTATACTATTGGCTAATACACATTATATTCCAAAATATATTCTAATTGGAGTCATATAGCACTGATAACATTCTCTCTTTTCTGTCTGAATAAACCAAAAAAGCTAAACTCATTTCCATCAAGTTGATTTTGACTCATAGGGACACTTCTGTGTAAATACTGATCCTATTTAGCTAGTGAATAATAACTATAAACAGTCAACTGTTTAAATAATATTTAAGTAAGAATTTACCTTTGCAATATTTCCTTCTCCCCTTTGGCCTTCAACCCTCCGATTACCTCCCCTCCCAATAAAAACAATGCCATTCCATAGCCTAGAATAAGCTGCCAAAGTGAGGTGATTTAGGTTTATGACAAAATCAGACAATAGGTTTTGAAACCTCAAAGTTCCAAATATGCAAAATTTATTTATAACCCCAAATCATTCAGATCTGACTGTATGTATAGTTTATGCTTCTTCCTACCATAAGTACATAAGAGTTAGAAATATTTATATACAGTCTATTCAGAAATGAAATTTTTTTAACTTCATGAGAGACAATGTGTACAGAGGAAAGATTTAAACATCAATTTATTAGGTGGAATATGATTTGATGTCAAATAAATGGACAAAAGCACAACTGTTGAGAGAGACCAAAGAAGTCAGATGTTTATTTAAATGAGGGATATATAATTGCAACCATGACCTACCTCACTAAAAGTGGTTTTTTAAAAGTGATAATTGATAAAAAATGGGCAGAAGACATGAATAGACACTTCACCAAGGAGGATATTCAAGCGGCCAACAAACATATGAAGAAATGCTCACGATCATTAGCTATTAGAGAGATGCAAATCAAAACAACAATGAGATACCATCTTGCTCCAGCACTAGTAGCAAAGTTCAACAAGACAGAAAATAACAAATGCTGGCGAGGTTGTGGAGAGATTGGGACTCTCATACACTGCTGGTGGGACTGTAAAATGGTACAACCATTGTGGAAAGCAGTATGGCGATTCCTTCAAAAGTTGGAAATACAAATACCATTTGACCCAGCCATCCCATTACTAGATATATACCCTAAAGAAGTGAGAGCCATAACAAGAACAGATTTATGCATGCCGATGTTCATCGCAGCACTATTTACAATAGCCAAAACTTGGAAACAACCTAGATATCCAACAACTGAGGAATGGATAACCAAACTTTGGTACATTCACACAATGGAATACTATGCAACGCTAAAGAATAATGTAGAATCTGCAAAACACCGCATAACGTGGATGAACTTGGAGGACATTATGCTGAACGAAATAAGTCAGTCACAAAAGGACATATATTGTATTAGTCCGTTATTGTAAAAGTTAAGGAAAGGTTTATATATTGGAGGACATTTTCTTTGTTGGTTACCAGGGGTAGGAGGGGAGGGGAGGGAATGCTGTTAGATAGATAAGAGGATAAATATTGATTTGGGTGAAGAGAAGGGCAATGTACCAAATGTGAGTGACCAATATGGCAGCATTGAGGATGAGAAAGACATAGAGAGTTACATGGGCAGTACAGACAACAAATATGAACCCCTTTGCATATACAGTACTGAGTTGTCAGTGAAAGCAAACATGGGTATAGGGACGGATAGATGGGTGAACAAGCTAAACAATTAGGTATGTCTAAATGGAGAGTGTATCCAAGATCATATGTAGGGTTGGCAGACAATGGGCCTATAAGTTCATGTGAATGATCAGAATTCCCAGGTGTATAGTTGAGCTGACAAGGGGCAAGGTTATGGTCATTACTTGGTCACAGCCAGCTACCCAGAGGGACTGAGTAGTTGATCCTGCGGGCTTGGGACCACAGTCACAAGGGAAATCAAGCTCAATTGGCATAACATACTGTACAAAACATTGTTCCACCTACTACTTTGGCGAGTAGCGACTGGGACCTTAAAAGCTAGGAAGCTGCCATCTAGATGCAACAACGGGTCTCTCCTCATCAAGAAGAAAGAAGAAAACCAAAATTAATGGAAACAATCAGTCCTAGCGACTGGTACACCATCCGATCTGCAACCTATACAACTATGAGACCAGAAGAACTAGATGGTGCCCAGCTACCACTGCCATCCACTTCGAAGGGATGTAGGAGATCCTGCATGAAGAAGGAGAACAATGTGGTACAAAACTCAAAATCATTTGGAGGCAAAAAAAAAAAAAAAAGAAGGTGGGGACCAGGTTTGCTGGTCCAATGGAGCCTGGTGTAACCATTGAGACTATGGCCCCTAGCTGCCCTTCAGGTCGGGAATTGAACCCACAACTGTGGTTTCCAGCCAAACAAAGTACAGGCATGTGAGTTAAACATTTACCTCAAGTAGACACACACCCTGGAGAGAACAATCATGGGAGAAGGAAGGGCTGCTTATGCAAAGGGAGATAGCTCAGGGTGCAGAAGAGTATGAAGGGATGGACACTGGGAGGAGGTAACTATGGGGAGGAAGTGGGAGGGGAGCTGCTGCATTGTAAATTTTGGTCAATGACATGAGACAAAGTATATGTGAACTGCTGTATGAAAAGTGAATTTACTCTGTAAATCTTCACCCAAATCCTAATAAAGGAAAAAAAAAAAAAAAAGTGATAATTGAAAATGCTGTGAAATACTATATAAAATTTAGGACAATAACAATTTCTCTATAAGCAAATAAAAATACATTCAGAATTTATATATTTTATTTATAAGGTAGATTAGTGAAATATTTGCAGGATTACTTCAGGAATAATTTCAAGATAGGAGTTTCATGACTATACCTTTACATTCAGCTAAGGAATGGATACCAGATATAATAATGTGTTCAAAATCAGGGTAAATATCCTTCATCTTCCTAGCTACATTTCAATTCAATTTAGTTACTAACTGCAGAATGCAACTGAGGAAGCATTACTCTATGGCATGGTGATTATAAAAGATATCAATCGATACATGTAATTATAGACTAATAATTTCTATGATTATCTTTTATAAACATGACTCAGGTTTTATGTGCCATATGATATGATTTTTTTCTGTCAAATGAGTATATAACTATCTTATGGATTTTCACTCACTAAACTACTATTTATTAAAGTCTCATAGGACTCTCTTCTCTTCAGCCTCCATGAACTAGTCATCTTTCCTAAAAATTCACTGTGTGGACAGCACTGAGAGCTCTAAGAGATACAGACCTGGTCTTCATAGACCACAATCTATTCATAGTTACAAGTATCAGAATGACATGAATGTGTTAGGTTCAGAACCATAAAGACTGCCTAAAGAGAAAGAAGTAATATTTTCACTTTTAAAAATTCAATTCCATTTAATAAATGCTTAATGAGCTCCTGCTACAGCAACTACAGCTTTGCTCTGGGCTAGGAATGTTAAGGTGAATAAGCTAAGTACAATTTCAAACAGAAGCCTGAATACATCATTAGGACAGTTAACTGGGAGATCCCATGAAACCGTGCATCTAAACTTCCAAACCAAGAAACTAAATCCCATGAAGTGTTTGGTTGTAAACAGGCAGCCTCAGCAACTACTCTTTTTGTTGTTGTAAATATTTTATACAACTTTGCCAACTCAGTTGTTTACAGGTATATTCTTTATTGACAGCAATTAGAATAATCAGCTGATCAGATGATTTTTCCATCACTGTTAACTTCCCCTTTCCTCCTTCCCCTGGTAACCACCAATAAACTTTGCTCTCTATATATTTGCCTTTTCTTGTCTTTTTATATAAGTGAAGTCATACAATATTTGTCCTTTTGTGACTGACTTATTTCACCAAGCATAGGATCTTCCAGCTCCATGCACACTGCAGCATCTATCAAGACTTCATTTCTTCTATTACTTGAGTAGTATTCCATTGTATGCATGTGTCATTTTGTTCATCCATTCATCTGTTGATGACCATTTAGGTTGTTTCCACCTTTTGGCTATGTGAATAGTGGTGCAAAGAACACTGCTTTCAAGTCTTTTGGGTATATACCTAGGAGTGGAATTGCTGGGTCACATGGTAGTCCTATTTTTAGTTTTTTGAGGAACTGCCACATTGCTTTCCACAATGGCTATACCATATTGCACTTCCACCATCAATGGATAAGGGTTCCAA